CCTTCCTTCCTTCCTTCCTTCCTTCCTTCCTTCCTTCCTTCCTTCCTCCTTCCATTTTTTGAGGTAAGAAGTATTTTTTTTATACCTGCACAAATTCTTAGATTTTTGACTGAGACAGTGGGAGATGATGTTCTGTGGTTTGATCCAGGATCTGGATAGCAAATTCCCAATCATGGTCAGACCAGAACCAAGAATCAGTCCAGGATTAGGCAGCTAAATCAGAAAACTCATAACAAGTTTATGAAGCAAAGTTTGGTACGCCAGGACAGGTACAGTAAAGGTCATGCCACAGTCATATGTACATCTGTATAGTCAGAGAGAAACTGATACCAAAGCCAGAAGCAGGACTAAACAGGAAAGTAAGAGATCTAAAAGATGGCTCTGTAAAACCAATAACTTTAGGCAAGGAGTAGAAAACTAGGGAGGGTAGATAGGTAAGACTTGTATAGACTAGATGTTGTGAGTAATATTTGCACTTCTCATATGAAATCATTGACATTTTCATACATTTTCCTTGATTGTTTGGAAAGCATCCTCCAAGGACACCAGAAAGTACCCAAAGAATAGACGAAGTAAGCTGGAAGACTTTCTAAGTGAAAACTGATTTTTTCTAGCCAGTTATCTTCTCTTCAATTAATAGTTGCAATGGTAAGCCAAGTGAAATCCTAATGGAGACAACGGCAATCTATGAGATAGTGATTGAGACTCTAAAGACAGCAGCCAATGGCTGCCTGCTTGTAGGATGATTCACTCCCAGGTGCTGAAGGGGTGATTCATCCTCAGTTGGGCAGTGACTCATTTCAACTCAGTACCAGTTTGATTCCGACCCTGAAACATGTATACATATATACTTGACATCATATGTTGGTAGTGTGTGTTGGAATGTTCTCTGAAAGATAATGAATGGATATCAAATGTTAGCAATGCCCAGACAATCTACCTCAAGTTGTGTGGAGAAGGGTGCTACACAGGAAAGTAGATATGAAGAGCTATCCTGAAAGAATTAGTGCAAGTCAGAAAAAAAAGGGGGTAAATAGTGTTCCAGTTGCTTTCAACCAAACTAAATTTTGAATAATAAGCTGATAAAAAAATGGAAAGTGTAACAGAGCTGTTTCAAATTCAAAGTACTTCACAAAGCCAGCTACAAGCAATGAAAAAGAATTTAAAAGGAATGTGTTGGAATTTGAAAGTCATCATAATTAGAAGTTTAAATGGCCTTTTGATTCTCTGAAACTACACTTTGAATTTGTTCTCCTGTGATAGTCTGTGAACTGAAGGTATACTGGAAATAAGCAAAGACATCTAAGAAAGAGTTGTGTCTCTACGCTAATTATTGTTCTCCTGTCTCATTATATAGCAGTCCAAATAATGAGATGAGTCCCTTACTCACTGATGACTGTTTTAAAATGTCACCCATCCCATTTTCCTGAAACTCAAGGTGACACAGTCGTAAGTGATTAAGTGGACAGATTTTGTTTCATGATTTTAGTGTTTAGATGCAAGTCTTTCCTTTATAAATAGCGTAATGTTTCTTGATTTCCGTATGGTCTGCCTTTGGTGCATTCCTCTTCTTCAACTTTTTATGTTATTTCAATGTTCCTACACAGTATATTTTAAATTTATTAAATTATTTTTACATATTATGTATTACAGAATGTACATCTCTTTCTGTTTGGAATCAAGAAAAATATCAACATCTTCCCAGCCAGAATATAATTTATATATTTTTATGTACACAAGTGTATTTATAAATGCTCCTAAAATCTTATGAACAAATGGATGAATGTGCAAAGCAGTATTTAAAGTGATATGTGTGAAGATTGTTCTGAAAGTAATGCCTCCTATTTTATTGTGTTGGGCCACTGCATCAGGAGGATGTTGGCGGTAAAGCTGCAGAAGTCAAACCTTCCAACCAGTGTTCCATTATATTTTGTAGTTATGTGACAGATGGCAGCAGAGGGGCAGTCTGACTGAATGGCATTTGACATGGAAGTGCATATGAAGCAAAGGTGTGGAACTGTATGAGTACAGAAAAAAATTGCACTCATTGGCATTCATTGAAGCTTGCTGAAAGTTGATAGAGACCAAATGTGAGCGCAGTGAGGCAGTGGGTGGTGTG